CCGCAAACCCCTGGCGCTTTGAAAAACACAAACACAGCACCAAGAATCGCAAAGCGTGGCACCCCCTGTGTGGGGTAAGCCGGAGGACATAGGCCCAGTTAATCTTAGCACAGCTCACTGACCTCTTCCGCCTCAGGTCGGTCCCCTGTCGCGCCTGGCAGTGGCACTGGCTGGGTGTATTTCCCAGGAACAAAGTCTTCAGCTTGGTTTCTTTTTAGAATGACCTAAAAAAATGAGCATAGAGACCCAGCGTCTGCCACTTGTAGCAAAGAACACCTCTCATTTCTGCTACAGCTTTACTGTTGTTCATAATTTAGTCGTGTTTTGAATTTTCCCCAGAGTGGGCTATTTCTGATCTTTTCTCTCCTTCACTTTCTGAAGGCATCCAACTACAGAAAACTTGGCTTAAGCACAGCCCAGCGGAAGAAAAGTGGCTTGAAACCTGAACTTACAGAAGAGCAAAAGCAGGAGATCAGAGAAGCTTTTGATTTGTTTGATACTGATGGATCTGGAAGCATCGACATAAAAGAACTGAAGGTTTTCAAACTTTATTTTCTTGGATGGAAGTATCTTTGATCTCAAAATTGTAGCTGCTTTTTCTGTTTGTCCAGCCCTGACTATTTTAAACTAGTTTTGGAATACGAATGAGAATAACGGCTTGCTGCCATGACTGAGTTTGGGGTGTGCTACACAGTTAACTTGAGAAAGCTTTGTAATACTTCAGAGCGGACGGACTTCTCTAATACCTGGACAGTAGGTCAGATAGCTTTGAGTATCTGAACATTAGAAGAACTAAACAGTTCCTCTGGTTAAGTACACACAGTACACATTTCATTTTTCATGACTGGCTAAGATCATGGTTTCTGGGAAGTGGACTTCTGTTTCAGGATGAATGTCAGAATATTACATTTTTTCTTTATCTCAGAACTAAACACAGATTTTCCACACATTCAGGAAAGACACAACCATGTTTTCATATACATAATCCAAAAATTACCTGGTTTTTAATTTAAAAAAAACAAAACAAAGATATGAGTTGCATTTCAGTAGCAATTCAGGTAGCGTGTGTGTGTGCATGTGCACACCCACAGTTGTACAAGGGGGAAGGTTATTCTCAGTTCCCTCCCTGTGTTTTTATGTGCTTGATTTTTTTTTTTTAAGAGTCTTTATCTTAATTATCTCCTTGACCTTGCTTTCTCACACAGACACACTGCCTCAATTTCTGCATGTGTAACCTAGAAGCATGAGTTACCTAAGCCTGTGTGGCTTATCTCAGGATTTATTTGGAAGTACTTATGCTTGGTTAAGGGGAGTGTGTTCCCTGAACGCAGATTATACGTGTTAAAATAGAGTTCTTAAAATGGACTGAAACATTTTAGCATTAACCCTTTAACGTGATGTTTTTCAAAATTAATTCAAAATACTGGATATTTTACAATAGAAAGTGTTCCCCTCTGAAAGACAAAATGGAACATTTTCAGTTGTCCCATTGCAAGAAACTACTCAGAAAACACACTTCAGTTAAGAGTTAAGTTTCTGGCGAGTTGGCACTTTCCAGTAGAAGAGCGTTCAGCGAGAGAATTTCTGCCTAGTACTATTGATTTCCACTAGAGCATATAGGAAGATCAATGTTCACGGTTCAAATCTTCCTCTAGTTACGCGTTCTTGAAACTTCAGTCTCTGCATTAAATGTGCTGTAATCATCTGGCACACCAGGATTGTGAAATTACTAATGAACACCCAAGCAGCAAAATCATTGTTCTAGGCTAGCCAGAGCCTGGTTTTAAATATCAGTATCAACCATTTGTACTACAACTACTTTGCTTGTGCTCAGGAAGGCTCAGGTGGTTCGCTTTGCTTTTCCTCAACCAACACAGCCATCAGTCTTTGCTTTGCTGAGGCGCTTACCGAGCATTGGTGGTGCCCACCCCCTCCTGCTCCTCCCTCCCTACAACCCAGCCAGAAGTGCCAAGAGCTATGCCTATGGATTTCTTCTCTCTCTTGTGTACTGGACTTCTCTCTCTTGTGTTAACTGCACATAATTCTGCACCCATCAAAATTAATGGGCATTCTGCCCTTAATTTCAAATGGAGCGAGATCACATCCCTGGTCTCTAACCTCCCCTGAAGTCCCGTTTTGATAATCCAGTCCCTTTAAGGGACTGTGTAGATTGGAACCTTTACCTAATTCAATTGCCTAAGTCTCTGAGTTTCAGAAATACATCCGTGTTCTACATGGATCTAAAGAGAAAATTTGTCTGAGTCTTAAGAATAGCCAACCTACACCATTACTGTTTGGAAAGATGAAACAAGCTGGTAAGAGATGAAGATGTTTTCATTGCAGCAAATTAGTTATTACTACAGTTTTGGATGAGGAAATTAAACAAGCTTCAGTGGAGCTGCTGACACTAATTCTGGTGGCCTAACAGAATTGCTTTTTGGCGCAGGTTGCGATGCGTGCTTTAGGCTTTGAGCCGAAGAAGGAAGAAATTAAGAAAATGATAGCAGATATTGACAAGGAAGGAAGTGGCACCATTGACTTTGAAGACTTTTTAGCTATGATGACACAAAAAATGGTAGGAATTCGTAATAGAAATTCTTGTGACAGCATAAAAAAAAAATACTGAAAAGGAGTATCTCAGTGGCAGGTGTTATCTGATTAATGTATGTTTTACTCTTGATTTAGAGTGAAAAAGATTCAAAGGAAGAAATCTTGAAAGCTTTCAGATTGTTTGATGATGACGGGACAGGAAAGATTTCATTCAAAAACTTGAAAAGGGTTGCCAAGGAGCTGGGAGAAAATTTAACAGATGAAGAACTTCAGGTAAGTTGTGATTTGCCAGAGCTTTTCTAAGAGGCACAGACCAATCCTGTAGCTCCTGTGGAGGGAATTTATGCCTACACAAAAAGGGCTGAGAGGTCAGAAATACAAAGAGCAATCAAATACATAGGTTTTCACATGAATTGCTTCTGAATTGTTGTTGCTTTAATGAATGGAAGAGATCATGTGTTTTAGAGTCCACTGCCTGATCAAACGTACAATGTGTTTTGTAGGAAATGATTGATGAAGCTGATCGAGACGGAGATGGAGAAGTGAGCGAGCAAGAATTTTTGAGAATCATGAAGAAAACTAGCTTATATTAATCCGTTGCCTTGCTATACAGCTGCTCCAAAAGATAACCTGGAAAAAGACTTAAAAACTGGGCTTGTGCCTCCTGCGTATTTTCTGCCATATAAAGATAGCCTGAAAGGACAGAATTTTGGTTCATTCTTCTTTTTCAGCCAAGTTAATTGGGGAAGGGGAGCTTCAGTACCCAGAACTGTTAAAATGAGATACTGCAGAAACAAAAGGAAGGATGAACTGAACCTGCCAGGCAGGGTCCCTTCCCCTCAACAATGTTACTGATTGCCATTTTAGATACAAAACACTGTGTTTCAACTATTTAACTAAAAGAGATGTGAAGATTCCTACTGCTGCTGGGAAAGGTCACTTTTGACTCTCCTAAGGCTACAGAATGAAGGCACAAGCACAGTATTTTAATTCCTTTTAAGGCTTTGAGGTTATCTTTTGGTATGTGTCTCCTTTTGTTTATTTCCATGGAAGACTCTAAAACCAATGGCATATCTGTATTTATTTCTGTACGAAGCACTGTTCTCCCACGGCAAGTTGGTTTTGGACCTAATGGAAAGCAAGTGTAGATAATCAGATGTGGTGTTTCAGTTGGAGTTGTGTGGCAGCAGTAGATGTTCTTCTGTTTCTCCCATCATCTGAAACCTAGTTCACTTGAATGTAACCTGCTTGGATTATCAAAGCTTTTTGTATAACCAGCATCTTGTGCCATTGTTCTTCCTCCCAAGATCTTACAGAGCTGCTGTTATGTCAGGATTTTAGGTACCTAAAAAATTCAGTTCTGTGGTGCACTAAGGTAAATTATGTCTTTGGCCATTTACAAGTCAAGTTGCAGGGAGGACTCGCATCTAAACTGAAAAAATATTCACCTTGGACAGCTGTGGAACACTGACTATATTTACATCCATGCATCCACATTCATTTCAGACATCACAGGCTTGGGTTTTTTTGTTTGGGTTTTTTTTTTTTTTCAGGAGTACCTTCATTTTCTCAAGTACTTCTTGCATATACTGTCAGTCTAGGACTTACTAGAGTGCCACATTTCCTTCTGTATTATGGTGACAGAGCAGTGACACACAACATGGCATCCAGTTATGTGGGTCTGCAGAAGGGTTTATCCTTGGGTCCCAATTAGACAATAATCCTAAATAATATCACTCTCTAATAAGGCATCTGAAGGAGAGTTTGGTACGGCTTACGGTGAAGTGGCAAGTAGGTAGCAAAACATTCAGAAGGGTTCAATGGGAAGAGGAGGGAACAAACAGGATTTCACCAGTATCCGTTAAGATCCCTCTCTTCTTCAGACAGCTTCTGCTGCCTGACAGCACTAACGACATTTATAGAAGAAAGGAAGAGCTAGTTCCTGGATTCGCTCCTCAGCACAGCTGCTCTCATGAGCTGTAAGGGCCCAGCAGGGGGAGAATTCATTTCAGGAGTGGAAAAGAGAAGTCTTCATTTGCTTATCTTCTTCTCAGCGTGCAGATGCAGACTGGGCCTCAGTCCTCTGGGTTTTGCGCTCTGAACAACTCTAAACAGACCCTCTCTAGCCTGTGCAGAAGTAGGCTTAAACCTGTGGGAGGCACAGGGATTGTGTAGGACCCTGGAAAACCCAAGAGACCTGTGAAGTCCCCTATTAACATATTCAGTGGCAGTAGATGTAACCTGTAGTACCGTAAGCATTTTTAAATGTCTATTAACTTTGTAAAAGTGTGAAATAAAACCGTTTTGCAAGTTAAGGACTTTGTGTGCTTTAGAACTTGGTGTGCTTACTCTGAAAAAATTATTTTTGAAAATTTAGTTTGTGTTAAATGGTTCACCAAGTACAGTTTCACTTTCATTTATCGAAGAGAGAAATTCTTAGGTGTAGTAGTCTATCACATAATTCCTCTCCCTCTTCCACTATGCTGATTAAAAGTTTCTAGTACTAACTACGTATAGGCAGAAAGGGAAATTGGAAGTTCTAGTTGATTATGGGGAATCCCACAGCCTATTAGAGTGACTGTACTTTTTTTAATGCTGCCACAGGAAGAGATTGATGACTGCTGTTTACCTGTGATGCATGTCACTTCTGACTGACTTCTGAAGGTAGGAAAAAGACACACAATCATACCTACCATATAGACTACAATGATGAAGCGTTATTTCTGGCTTGCCCATTAATCTCTTGAGTCTGGAATGTTGAGCAGTGGCTGAGTTAGCACAAAACTTGCAAGCATTAGCGTAACAGAACAGGCACCTTGTGCTGCTTTAGTTCATGTCATAGTGAGGGATGTCTTGTCCCCTTTTCCACCTGCACTGAGTATGACGACTGACACAGCCGTATCGGCAGCAGTGCCATGGTTCTGCATGAATTATTTTTGTTGCCCATGAGATCCTTCCTGTCCCTTCGGGAATTTTGTTTTTATGTTTCTATACACAGCGGAGGAAAAGGAGCCAGACTGAAGCCAAGGGTTAGGTTTGTGTGAGGAACAGGTGCTGAACTGCCCGTTCAGGAATTTCATTCTTTTACTGTGCTGGAGAAAGCGACTTGAGATCAATGAACTGGGAGGGTACCCAGCAGATGTTTTTCCTGGGCTCTGTTCTAGTGCCTACTCAAGCAGCTTACACTAAATGGAGGAGTTTCACTAGAGGAGACATCACTTGCACCCCCCTCCTCCTCCTCCCATTCACTCTGTTCTCAAAAATAAGAGCTGGAGCACTTCCAGGAGTCTTGGATTCAACTCCTTTGCACTAAAGCACCAAAAAGCAGGCAAAGCAGTGATTTGGGTTGCCTTGCATGAAAGGACCCATCCCTCAAGGCACCTGAATCCAAGTGGTCATCAGTGTGAGCATGTACAGACTGGCACGTGGTGCGGAGGGGAAGGCTTCAGTCCCAGCCCTGCCCTGCCTCACATTCCTTACAGACTGACCTGGGCAGCTCCAGGGGCAGGGGGAGGCCGATGGCTGCAAACCTCATCCTTTGCATCCCTTTTCCCCTTCGTGCCAACAGGGAGGCTGGGGTCTTACCCGGCGTTTGCAAATTCCCCTCGGATGGCTGCAATTCAGACGCTGCAATATGGGCACCCAGCTGAGATCCTTCCTTCTGCGACATCAGCGAAGCGTTTTCAGTTTGAGTGTTCCTGCTAGTCAGATACTGTAACAAAAAGGAAAGTGGAACTGCAATTTGTATTTGGCAAGCATCTAAGTATCAAAGCATTGATAAGGGTGACAGCTGCTTGGGAGATAATATTGCAAATGCCTTCCAATGAAAAATGTTTTAAAATGAAAACGTACCGAGCTTTTAATAAAATACAAAATAGCTCAAGAGGAAGAAAATGACTTATAAGTTATATTCCAAAATACGCCAATTGCATGGCAATTTTAACCTAACCTTTGCTGTTATCCTCCCTGTGCAACTTTTAAGTTCTTCATCATTTCTCAGCCCTGCAGTACAGTCCCACAGTCCTGCCAGTCCCATAGGAAAGCAAATCTTCAGCTGGCTTTAGGAAAAAAAAGAAAAAAAACAAAACCCCAAACCAAAACTTGACTATCTACTGTGCAAAGATGTTTCAAGTAATGTGAGCTGACAACTGGAGACGCTGGGCTGTTTTGCTTTCTCACCACATCACAGTAAAAACTGGATAAAGGCAGCAATCTTGAAGGCCATTCACTTCTTTGCAGTTATACCTGTGCCAAATGTGTGTAAAACAGCAGGCTGGCCACGCACAGGTGATTGCAGAAGTTTGAAGGAGTCCTGCATTGCTCGAGGTGCTCATCCAGTTAACCAGTGACGAGTGCTACACTCTCACTTCTCTAGGTGTGAGTTTGTTTTCAGAGCAATAAGTACAGGGTCCACTTCTAACGTTGCGGAAAAATAATGGCTTCTTTCCAGGTGAGCCTAATCTTGGTATTTAAAAGAAGATGGTGGGAAACGAAGAGAATAAATCCTTCATGTGCTTTCACATGCCAAGAGTCCTACTAACAGAGCGCAAACATTTCGATAAACCAATGAGGCATTTAATAATACATATTTAAATTGGTAATTTGCAGTTTTGAAGAATACATCTCACATCCTGCGAACTGTCTGGTGAAGTCACGCCACATATTTGAAGTGCTGAGTATTAATACCCTGGAAACCTCCTGAGTTCATATAAGTCAAATAATTGCCACACGACATCTGCTTTTAAACACCCCTGGATGACATGAAGCAGATTTCTAGAAAGACTCAGGCAGTAGAAAGTGCTCTGGGCCAGAATTCACTGTTGCCACATTTGACACATGGAAACGCTGGCAGAACACATTTTTCTGACATAGGTTAAATCCTTCTGCAACGCCAACAAAAATCCTACAGTACCATACTACTGAAATCTATGCCATGCCATGTTTCCTTACATGGATAAAAATGAATGAAGAGGAGAAAAATACCATCCCTGAGATGCTTCAAAACACAAGCTTTGTTTCAAAACCTAGTTACATATGCTAACAGAAACTAGCCACAGCTGTCTGACACATCTTACAAAAATCAGGCAGGGAGAGCAAACAGCCAGCTAGTTAGGGATGTTCTTCAGACACCCTTCAACACCAGCGACCGGGCAGGAACAACCCGCATGCCTCCTGGCGCAGGGGAGCAAACAAACTGCTTGGTCTACAAGCTGGGATGATCCTTGACACCTGAGGAAAGAAACCCTATGAGGAGAATTCTGCAAAGATAGCTTCCTTTTTGTCGTGTATATCAATATCAGGAGCGGAGCTGTGCGAGGACAGTCGCACCAAAGAACAACACTGTATGCCAACGCCCAGGGCGATTAGGCACACCCCTCCGAATTGCTCCAGTGAACAGGCAGCCAGGACTGCCCCTTTGCTTCAGCCCAAAGTTTCTGTGAAAGCCTCTGCTGAGCAGGCATAAAATTCTGCTTTCAGTGGGCATTGCACGCTCTGCTTAACTACTGGATGCGCTCCTAAATTTTTACATTAAGGAAAGGTGTAAAGGTCTTTTCACTCGTAAGGGAAAAAAGAACTGACAGATCTGAGAGCATGACAGTCTCGCTAGAGGGCATCCAGTTACTAACGTGTAAGATGAGTGATGCTTATTTTCCTCCACTGTGGCTTTTAATGATGATCGAAAGTAGGCTAACAAACACCATCCAGCTGGGGCTTGAAATATGTGGTTGGATACAGAATTTTTCTTTTTCTGAAAAAAAGAACACAAGTCTTCTCACACAATTCAAGTGCAAAATACTGTGATTATTAGTTGGCTGTTCAAAGCTAAACCCCCAAACCACACTTTCTGAAACTCCCACTCTGTATCAATAATTACAGACACATTCTCAGGGGAGCGGAGAACTGAACTTGCCTTTCGTGCAGCATCCCTCGAGTGCTCTGACCACTATCTATACAGTTATTTTCTCTCATTGGGAATGTTGCTATCAAATGGAACCACTTCAAGCAGAGAGACAGAGCCAGACCAGCTGTAGGATGTTTGTGGCCCTCCCTTGGGATGTGGGAAAGCTGGAATTGCGGCCTTGCTTCGAGTCAAGAGGAACAAGGATTTGAGACTTAGACTCTTGCCCCCAAGGTGAGTGTGTTGACCTTTAGGAGAGTGTCTGCACTGGGATGTGTCTTATTCCAGTGGCCTCGTGGGTGGTGCATGACCAAGAAATATGTTTTCAGGCAACTGCCTGGACAGAGGTGAAAAGCATGATAGATGGACACCAGCCTTCACTTAACAGCAGCTCAGAATATCGAGAGCTTGACAGCTCATACCTACTGCTGGAAAAATACAGGAGGCCTGTGAGGAAGAGATGTGGAGTTAGGGTTGAACAAGACAGAGGACCTGCAAAGTTTGATGTTTGATGCTTCAAAACCTGATTTATATGTGCCCAATTCCTTAAGCAGTACAGAAAGAAAGAAGGCCTTAAGGCGACGATCCACATCTCTCTGCTGAGTGGGGAGTCTGGCACAGCTGGCTCATAGCAAACCTGCTCCCATGCAGTGCAGCAGAATGCACGTGAGCGCTTCATCCCAAATGGCACCCACGTGGCGCCTACCTTTAAGAGCCTCAGCCCGTGATGATTTCCGGGGTCCACCGGAATGGAGTTGGGGACCTAAAATTATAGCTTTTGACCTCTTTGGAGTTCTGACTGCCACTAATTACTAAACTTGAAATGGATCAAGTCGGTTTGGGTGTTTTGTTTTGTTTTTTTTCTTGTCTGAATTAGATTTAATGCAGTGAATGAGAACAAAGGAAAGTTGTCAAGCCTGAGCTGCAAACATGCAAAATTCTGGGCACAGCCGTAACAGTTTCACATGCATTTATTATTCCCTCATGTGCATGCACACACACACACACCCTGTATACGCACATGCAAATCTTGCAGCCTTATTATTAAAGCTTCACATACTTTTGACGTGCAAAAAGTACAAATGTGGGCATACGTTCAGAAGCTTCACTTGGAAAGAGGGTGGATTTGTTGTCACATTTTAGTCCCAAATAGGATAGGATCTGTGTACTGTAGAGTTACCACGGAGGAGAAGTCTAGCCCTTATTTCCCTGGAGTGAAAATCCCACTGGACCAGCAAGGGCTGTGGGGACTAGCATGGGAACTCCCTGTAGCAGGTTTGGAGTCTGC